AAAAAAACAAACAGACGTTGTCACACCAATAATAATTTTTTAATAATAATTATAAATTAATTTTAAAAAAAAAATAAAAAAATATTTTTCTAATTTGATTGGTTGACTGACTATATATATATAAGTTTGTTAATGAATGTGTAGTGCGTGGCATTAAATGAAAATAAGCTAATATAATGATTAATGAATGATGACAATGTGTCATGTCGACAAAGAGCGTGAAAGAAATAAAATACAAAAAAAATGATGAACAAGAATACAAATTATTGTAATTCTGCAGAATAATAAATAAGCCCAAAATAAATAAAACTTAGCCACAATTAAAAAAACTAATAATAAGTAAATCAATAAATAAAAACTAAATTTAATTTTCATATTATAAATAAATAAGAAAAAATAAAGCCAATATATAAACAAACCCCAACCCTAACACATTTTCAAGCACACCTTTTTTCTCTTCTCAAACTTTGTCAAGCTCGAATCCACCACAATAATTAATAAATCTATCGGATAAAGTCGTAAATTGTCCATAAATATAATAAATAGCAGAATAAAAAAGGTATTAAATGTGCAGTGGCTGTTTACGTCAAAAAAAAAGGGGGGGGATGCCAAAAAAGATAAAATTAATGATAGCGTCGCTTTTCTTGTTTTGGTACCAAAAATCGAAAATTTTGTGCCTTTGCATGGCCATTAAAGTTTTTGCGGCTAAATTGATAATAATGAAAAGACAACACCTCTGACTCTCCATAATTCAGAATAATAAGCCTCCATGATGCTAGTCGATGAATTAATTCGAGGTTTTAATTCAACTTTGCAGTGATCGCGTGCATCACCTTTTCGAATTTTCTCTCGCAGCTCTGATTAGTGGTGCAAGCGATCTAAGTGGTTCTGCTTTTTGCAAAAATGGATGCTATTTTATATAATTAACGGATTACATTTATAAATGATTAGTAAAAATTCACTGAGAATATTTACAACGAAAAATAACGATACAATATAGAATAATTACCTTAAGTAGCTCAAGTGCGGTTGGCCGTTTTTCAGCATCCACTTCTAACGACTTGTTCAAAAAGTCACGGAAAACAAGTGACAGACTTTCTGGATTTTGTAACTGAGGTGTTCCATTTGTTGCAATCAAATATAAAGCCTAACAAGATATAACACGATATTTTAGATTACGTGTAGATTCAAAAAATTTCAAAGAAAAAATAATGTGGAAACAATAAAAATATATACCCTCAGCGGATTCTCGTTTAAATATGGCGGCTCACCCTCTACCATCTCGATTGCCATAATTCCTAACGACCAAATATCTACTTTCGGTCCATATTCTTTACGTGTCACAACTTCAGGTGCCATCCAATATGGCGTACCTACCATCGTGGTGCGTTTGCTGTGTAATTCATTGATTTGCGCACAAAATCCGAAATCGGCTAAAATTATCAGAATAAAAATCAATACTCAACTATATCTAAATGTGAAAAAATTGAGAAATAGCGCCAGTCACTCACTCAATTTAATATCCCCGTTTAATGCTAGTAGAACGTTGTCGCTTTTGATATCTCTGTGAATGACTCCCTTAGAATGTAAATGTGCTAAACCTTCCAGTGTCTTAAAATAAACAATTTTATATTAGTTGATTTATAAATTCATATAATCAATGAAAATTCACATTTATCTTACCTCTCTTGAGACAGCAGCAATTTGACCTTCTGTCATTATATTACTTGTTACAACATCCGTTAAACTACCACCTTCCATGTATTCCATCACCACCCAAAGATCGCCCTTCCATAAGAAACTGTCTATGTAATTGACAATATTTCGGTGTCGCGACTCTTTCATAACCAAAATTTCATTGATAATTAAATCTTTTTTCGGTTGTTGTTCAAGATTCATTTGTTTAATAGCTACTGAAAGATTGGTTCCGACTTGATATGCTGTATAAACACCACCTGATGCACTGTTTTACGAAATGAGAGTTATGTATTATTTATTAATTATTACTGGAGATGAATCGTAATTATTTAGAATTCGTACCCTTGACCAATTTTTACAAGATTTCTGTATAATTTTGTAGGATCTGCGTCTGTACAAATAGCCTTCAATCGCTCAATTACGTCCGCTGATTCTTTGGCTCCTTTGCGTGGTTCCCTTCGTCGTGTACTACCACCATGTTGTTGCGGTTTTGCCACTATTGGGCTAGAGCTGAGTACTGGCGGAGGTACTTTAGGTGGTGCAGGGACTAAAGGTGCTTGAGTGGGATCTTTACGTGATGGTTTGGTAGTTGGCTTGGGAGGAGGAGTTGGAGCAGGATGACGACTCTCAAGTGGCGGCAAAGGAGTTATTGGAGGAAGTCTAGGAGGTTCTGGCGATGTCTCTGAGATAAAGTTTATTGATTGATTAATTTACAACGAATTAATATTATACACAAATCAATTTTTATGTTAATGGAGATTTAATAAATTACATACTTCTTGGAGGTTTTGGCGGTGTTGTATGATTATTACTACTACTATTATTACTAGATGTTTGCCTCTTTTCGTATTTAGAATCCTTTTTAACAACCATTAATCATTCTTTTTGTATAGCAAAAAAAATATGAAAAGTAAATACGAAAAATTAAGAAAAAACTCACTATTGTTGTAGAGCTATTATGAGGTCTTGCTGGTACCACAGGTGGTGGTGGCTTTTTCTTTAAATCCGGTGGTGCTGGTGCCACTCTCTGTTATAAAAAAAATTAGTTTTTTATTTCATAATTAACATTCAATATGAAGAAATGCTTACAGGATTTTCGAATGCTTTCTCGGTCATACGCGGCGAAGTTGGTAAACTTGTCGGTGGTGATGTACTAGGGACTTTTGCATGATTAAATTTCTCCCATACAGTATTATTATTAACACCTCCAGCAGTATCTTGATAAAATTTGACAATTTCCAGCACAGCCTGAAAGATTCCAAATGTTGAATTTTATTTTCAAGAATTGGATATTAAAATTCATAAAAAATAATTTATAGAACTAACTTGTGGATGTGCTTGTTGGTCTTGTTTTGATATACCAGATTCCTGTAATAATTGTTGCCAATCTTTTGGCAAACCCTAATAAAATTAAATAAATTTTTTGAATTATGTGATTGGTTAATACTTGTGATGATTAAACGAGGCGCTTTATACGTAAACATCCTACTTTCGCGCTATAACTATAGTATGACATATTGTCTCACCGTAAATTCTCCTGTCTCTTGATTGAATCCAACGTGAGTTAAATGTACCGGATCATATGGTGAAGAAATTTCAAACTTTTTTTGTGTTGTTAGAAGGTCTATAGAATTTAAAAAATCATAACTTTAGTAAGCAAGGCTTTAAAAAATTTATATCTCGAAAATTCGATATAAATTCGTCAGAAATAAAGAAATGCCTGATACAGAACTAACAAAATTATTAAAAACTCCTTTAATTGTGGACTTATTTCCATTTCCCTCTTTCTCATTAGAAGAAGGCTGTATGGGGTCCCCATGGACATTAATCCCTTGAGGCCCTTTAATCGAACTATAATTCGCCCCTTGACTGTATTTTGGTGAGGTAGGAGAAACTGTATTCTCGGGTGAATTTATGATCGCCTTTGTTGTAACCATTGTAGCACTAGCCGACGGACTTCGATTTAAATTCTGGGTTGATATTGTAGTTGTTGTTGGACCACGAGTCGGCTTGGTGGATGGTCCCATACTGGTTGATTTCTTACCTGTGGGCGGTGGGCCACGACGTTGACCATATGATGGTGAGGACCTTAGGCTCCCGTTATGACTTACGCCAGATGTACCGCTACTCATTTGAGAAATATGGGAAGATTTAGTCGGTGGCGGGGGAGCAGAACGTTGCGGGATAGGTGTGTCGTCAGAACTATTATAGAAACTATTATTGTTATTATTATTATTGTTATTGTTACTAGTACGAAAATTATTATTATTATTATTATTATAGATAGCTGGAGGACTTTTAGCACCAGACGAGGAAGAGTTTGATAAGGTTGGTCGAATAGGTGGAGTTATATTACTTGGTGTTTGTGCAGTGCTCATCGCTTTTCTATCAAATCGATTTCTTTATCGTTATTAATATTTGTGTGCGAGTTTCAAACACACATACACAACCAGCAATCTATATCTCTCTCTTCCTCTTATTCTCTATCACTTTTTGTTCTTTTGCTCTACTCACTGGCTTTCTCTTTATTGTGTTAATATTTTGCAAACTCTCGCGTTAGTCTCTCAGACTTCACTCTTTCTCTCGCTCACTCCGATTTTTCAGTATAGTAGCTTTTTTTGACTGTAACTATTACTATTATTATAATAATAATAATACTGGTACAGAAAATACTAAATAATGAATATAAATAAAAAAATTAAATGGTGAATCCGTCAAATAAGGAGAACTACATATCAATATCAGAAGTTTGAAAGTTTTCGCATGTTACACGCCGAAATCTAACATTTAGTACAGAACGTACGACAATGCTATGCTAAAAGGCATAATGTCCTTCCTTATCGATAGTGCAGAACAAAATTATTGGATTGATGCTCGTGCTACAGCTGGAGTTGTAATATTTAAATAGCATCCCCTTCTAATGAAAAACCCAACCTTTTTCCCCCCTTTTTTTTGTCACGAAACAGGTCAAAGTTGTCAAGGCACCAAAGCATCTCATAAGTTCCTATAAATAAATCTTTAAAGAATGAATGTGCAATAGAACAATTTCACGTGAGTTGATAATATATCATATGATTTATTGGAGGTCAGAACCTGATTTAACTTTCTTATTGTAAAACCGGTTTTAGATATTAATCCGGTTTCAATCTCTATTGCTAGATTCATTTGAGATTTTTATTGGATGAGTAAATATTGATAATATTTTTTACAATGATTGCTTAATCCAAGTCTAAAGAAGTAAAAAACCACATTCAAAGAAATGGGATTGGATCAAAAATATAAGCATATCCTTAATTCCCTTATCACTCAATATCTCCGTCGTAACCATTGTTAAACTCATTGATCTCCTGCTGAAGTTGTTCCGACAAGAGTAAATGCTGATTATGACAACGATTTTTTTCTCTCGACAACGATTTTGTATTACCCTCAAACGATGGAAAAGACTCTGAATCGAAATCATCCTTTTGATTAGACAAATTTTCATTTAGACTCTTTCCATCGAACAATCTTTTGATTGATTGAGTTGAATTTGATTTAGATAAGGGTGAGGGTGAGGATGATGATAATAACAATAATGGTGATAAAGGATAATTATTAATTTCATTGATTGTTATTCTCTCATCATCCGATTTCTTCCGATATTTTTGTTCAAAGTCGCTCCATGAAGGTGTCGGTGAGACGGGCGAATACGAAAAATCATCATAGCCACTAGTAGGCGTAGGTTCGAATGACGAATTAAAATGACGTGAGCTGACTGAACTATAATACCATTGAGGTGATTTTGAAGAAGAAATTTTCCGCGTTTCTGGGGTGCGTAAAATTGAAGGATCGATTTTAGAATCCGTGATCGATGGACAAGGAGGAGGAGACGTTAGGGGAGGAGGAGGAGGTGGTGTCTTATTTGGAAAGTAATTGGAAAAAGGGCGGATGAATCTTGGAGAAGGCGTATTAACGGTGTTGGGTGGATTTCTTTGTTCAGTTATTGGGGATGAATTTGGCGTTTCAAAAAAAGGAAATGGAGGAGTAGAGAGTAACTGATTTTGATTAGAGTAAGTTGTGTTATTTCCGTTGTCATTATTATTTTGATTATCATCAATACTATTATAATAACTTAGTGACGTTGTTGGTGTTTTCGGAGGTTCATCACTACCATTGAAATTCGTCGTTGTCACTGATGTCGTCACCGTCAAATCATTATATTCATCTCGATACATCTTCAAAGTTTCGCCAGGACCCAAGAGGTCCACGATGTGTATTCTATTTACTGGATTCATTATCATACTCTCGTAAAAATCTTTTTGTTCCTGTGTTAATGCAACCTTTTCGCCATCATCGTCTTCATTACTAGTGTTATTATTAATAGTGTGGTCAATAGTATTAACGCGTTCTCGAGCATTTTTAATATTGTGATTAGTATAAGCTGTCTCAGTCAATTCCAATATCATTTCCTTTTCATCACCCTCGAAACTCTCACTTTCAGAATAAAAGCTCAAACACCGTCTCTTTTCTTTATGCTTATTTTCTTCTTTTTGCATTATTATTGTCGTTTTATTATTTGCAGTTTTTCTTTGTGTTTTTGTATTTTCGAGGTTTTTTACTACTTCGAGTTTTAAAAGAAAAATTTGGGAAAAGAACACGAAATAAAATCGAAGCGTGAGAATGTGTTTAATAAAGATTGGCCGCGTTCTTTCTCTTAAAAGTAATTTTGGATCAATATTCAAACTCGGATCCTCGAACCAAATTGACTTGTGATTAGAATTCGCTCATAAAAAAATTATTAGCATAGCGATAGCACTACTCCTTAAATCCAACCATTTTTTGAAAGTCGGCCAATTGGATCTTTTTTTCATCCTTATAACAGAACCTCTTGTAATTTTTATAACTCCATTTTGAAAAACCGTTGTCCAAGCAATCTATAATATGTAATTATAACATTAGCTTATCTCTAAATCAGTTTCCAATGTAAAAACGTTTAACGTTAAGTCTTGAAAACTCATTAATCCGAAAATGTTAATTTCTCATTCTAATTAACACCCAATGAATGACTCAGGCGTGCTTGATCACGTCATACTCATGTCTTCCAAATTTTCGTACAACTTCTTTTTTCGATAGAAACAGGATTCTTAATTATCCTGTATATAGAAGGATCTAATGTGTAACGGCATCCAACACCCCAATTTAAGTCAAAAGTATCACATGGCACAACCAGCCCTACATGTTTATGCTTATTAAATATCTTCATGCAAAAAAGATTGTGATACGGCAGGTAGGGTACCCGGAAACAAACACCAGCACCGCGTATTCCCAGGGGAATACAATACAAAACGATAAACAATACAGGATATAAATTTTTATATAAATTCGTTATAAAAAGCATAGCGGACACTAGGAAAATATAGCTTATTTTAGCCGCTTTATATTTGAAAACTTGGTAATATATTAGGCACAACTAAAAGCAAACTCTAACAATAACAATCTAAGCAACAAACACAAATTGGCACAGAACAAAAATCAGCTTTTCGGACAGTGCAGTACATTTTGAATGTCCAAAGCTTTTTTGGTCCCGTCCCAACTCTTAAAAACTATATCAAAAATACATAT